TTTCATAAAAATAGCTGTCACTGACAAGGTCACGGGTGCCTGCACTCTGTAATCAATGGTATGGAAGCAAAGCGGCATCCTTTTGGTGGAACCATCCCAGAGGAGAGGGGAGCCGGGGGGGTTTGAAGTGGTGGGTCTGCTTTGAACAACAGTGCTGCATCCAACAGCCCTTAGTCTCTGAGCCCAAAATAGATACTCATATTGTGTTTTTTCTTATTGACCACAATCACCCTCACACCCATCTCTTTAACAAACTTTTATGAAGCAACAAAACACAAAGCAGGGAGACCGGTCAATCCCAACTGGACATGGAAGTATGTTTATGTACATGTAAAAGAGCAGTGTCCAATAAAAACGGCATCATAATGTTAAAATTAAACAGCAATAAAAGTTGAAACCAGTGAGTCACAATACTTGGCAGAACAGTATTACACAACTAACAGCCAATAAATTGAGAACATTTAGGGTCACATCAGAAGAGATTCTTGTTCATTTGGATTCAAAAGAACTCCTTTCATGTGCCATGCTGATTTATACTGTTAACCAAGTCATAATTAGTACATGACATTTGACTTGTTAGTCTTTCTTAAGATTACATGGACGTTCCAAACTAACTGGTGGCTGTGAGTCATGCAGATCAAATGTCAAACAGATAAGTCCTTTTGGAAGGAGGTGCCAAAGAATGTTTTCTTACTAAAAATATTAGGCATAACTGCGTTTATCTGTGATAAGAGTTCTCTATAATGCAGGGCTGTGTGTGCTTTCTGTTGGTATGAAAAAGTCGTGAGGAGACGGATGAATACTTTACAGAAACATCTCTTTTCAAGTGGTAACACATTTCTGCGGATGACTGGGTAAGGGCGAGTCATCATTTCAAGTCAGGCTGACAACCTGAACTACACGGCTCTTTTTCACTGTCTATTCTTCTCGTTCCACTGCCCAACAAAACACAATGAATACTTTATACTTTAAATTTGTCACATCATCAAACATCTGCAGGGTTTGTGTCTTGCATGTCTGTATTATTTTTTTATTTTAAAGAAATAGGTCGACATTTTTAGTAATATTCAGAGAAGAGAAGATCCATACGCATCTCATCTGTATATAAAGCTACAGCCTCCAGGCAGTTAGTTTAGCTTAGCACAAAAACTAGAAGTTTGATTACATTTGTTCCCAAAGGAATAGTTTAAAATAGAAATAGGAGACATCTCATAGAGATAAATCCTACAATTGGATGATTAATACCACGGTCATGTCTGTGTGCTAAATATGAACCTAGAACCAGGCGACAGTTAGCTTATGTTAGCATAAAGATTGGAAACAGACTCAGCAAGCCTGGCTCTGTGCAAAGTTTAAAACATCACCAGTATCTATACAGCTCTCTCATTAACATAAATCTTTTAATTTATCCAAAAAACGTAAAAGTTGTGGTTTTACTGGTAATACTCCAACACATAAATCCCTCTAAGACCACAACTTCTTGTCCCTAGTTGTCCGTTTTGTTTTTTGTATGGATGAAACAAACTAAATATAGTGTGTTAATTAGTTAAATTAGGTAATAGTTGGTGGACACTAGAGCCAGGCTACCTGTTTCCAGACCTTAGAGTGGAAATTATCTTTTTATCTCACTCTTGGCAAGAAAGCAAATGAGCACATTTCCCAAAATGTCAAACTATTAATTTTACAAATCCCATCTAAGTGTATGTATCCAATATGAGAATAGATACGTGTGTCAACCCACACAAGCTCCTTAACTAGGATGTATACGGCTGAAAAGGTCAAGTGCAGGCTGAGACACTCTTCCAAGAGTTTTATTGAACAGCGAGCCATCTGAGCACACTTGTCCTTTAAACCTTACCCTTTTTTATGGCAGGGCAACCTTCCTGTGACAAGTCTGCCTCTCAAACGTTGAGCCCAACCACTGCACAGACTGCCAGTGTGGGATGCTCCGTCACCACAGGGGCTGTAACTGAAGTCTTCCAATAATTCAGCCAACCACACACTGAACCCTCACATTTTATACAGCCTCATGGGGGTATGGAAATGCATGATTAGCCTACCAAAACCAAACTCCTGCGCAGTCAGACGTTGGAACAGAGAAGGTGACATCCTTGGCTCTGGTGAGGGGACCACACTCAGGCCTGCACCCCGTCGACTACCTGGCCGGCAGACCAGGGATGGCCGAGGGCTGCTGCAGTGTGGTCCTCTGAGAACTGCTGCAGGTTTCAGATGTGAAAGCCCTCTTTGTCACTAAGTGAAGCTTTGCTGTCCATGAATTTCACCACCAAAGTGGCACCAGGCTCGGAAGATTTTTGGAAGAAGCTGGCTCTACTGCTGTTTGCTGAAAGACATCTGCTGTTGGGGGAATGTCCGTGAGAGTGACTCATTAGGCCTCAAAAGTTCAGTTAGTGTCAACCAGCAAATCAACAGACAGGATGTGGAGCTGTTTTCTGTGAAAATAAACACCATGACTAAGTTTTGCCCGAACTGGAACAGTTAAACAACTCCATAACTAAGTCCGTTCCTAAGTGCCCTTTTGATTTAAAGCTTAACAGACACTTGTTTAAGATGGATGATCATCTGGAGGGATCTGGGAAGGCTCACTGAGCTGCAGACAGCGGCAGTTTCCACTCTCCCTTAGTAGTCTAAAACATACAGAGGAGCGATATTTCATTTAGCTGTGGAGCCCAGAAACGAGTGCTGAGATTGCAAAAGTGAGATTTATTTTAATGAGTTTTTTTGACAGAAAGAAGCAATCTAAGCACCAATCACAACCCAGGGATAACAAACAAAGGAACATTTGAGCCATGAGAAGCGTGCTCCTTAAGTTTCAGCTGCCTCCAAACAGATACGCAGTCTGTTAAATTCATCTATTAGGGACCAAAAATTCAGATGGTTTTCATTGTTCATGTGGTTGGCATGAAAAGCTTGTTTATTCTAGACTCAAACCTTGAAACCCTGTTATCAAATGAATCTTCTTTGTAAAGAAGTATATGACCTCAGAACACTGGAGTCAGCATTAGTCACTAAACTGGAGGACCCACTCATAGTCTGCTGTATGACCGTTAACTGTATGTTTTCTGGATATATGATTTCACTTATTGTGATGAATGGCATGAGTCATGGAGGTCTGTTGAAGGCTTCAGGACCGCCTGGGGAGACAGAGCCAAAAGAGCGATCGCCCTGACCACTCAACTGTTTTTACACCATAGTTAAAACACTGAAAAACAAAAGGGCCTCCCAGCCTAAACCTGCTCAAGAGAGGCATGAGTCAAAGAGCCACAAAGAACAACAGAAGGAACCACAGAAATGTTTTACATCCAGTCCAGTGGAGCAGTTGCATTAATTCTGGTGGTATTTTCTTCCAGCTGCTAACAATAAATTCTACATATAACTAAAAAAAGACAATAGTTTGCAGCATAAGTTAGAAATAATACCACAAAAAATGATACAAAAAGAGGAATACAGAAGATTCAGGACTAAGCTAAATTAAGCCCACACCAAGGGATAGTCAAATGAAATTAAAGTACTGCCGTAGCAAACCCTGGATGCTTTAAATGTGATAGTTTTTTCCACCAGTTCAGAATTTATTTGGTAACTGTACTATTGAAATGATTGAACAGGAAATATCCTGTCTGATCTCTTCATTTAGCAGTAGTTCATGTTTCAGCTGCTGCATTCTAAAGTAGCTGCAGATGTGAGTGACTTGAATGGGGCAGGAATTTCAGTGGTTAAAATGGGATTTGATGTTTGTTTTTTTTTTTTTTTTTAAATAACAGCTTTCTCCAATTTTATTAAAACTCCTCCGATTCTGGCAGCTGGCTTTGTTTTGGAAGGAGGTTACTAAGATTGTTAAAGGCAGTATTTCTGGAGAAAAGGGAACCAAAAAAACATCCTCTTTACATCTACTTTACTGAGTAGTAAAAGGTTGGAAGATCATTAGATCAACATTGATAATACATTCATGCTGATTCATTCTTACTTTGTTGCAACTCTGCTTTAATCCCCACAAGATCATCTTTTTTTCCTGTGACATTTCTGGCATTGATCAGATCACCCTAGAGCCACACTTTACACACAATCAGGTCAGAATAATGATCCCAGGGTGCCATATCAGCTCATATGTTTTGGAAATAAACATTCTCAATTTCACAAAACCATGAGCATCAAAAACATGTGGTCCTGCCTTGAAAACAGTGCTGAGAGTCAGAGCTAGCCCTTTCTGCTTTGGAATGGAAGCTGGATCTTCTCACGGCACTATATTTTTGGGGTAAAACGCAACCTCATCTTGCTACTGTGATGTGTGTTGACACTTTGATACAGCATGGCAGATTTCAAATGCACTGACCCACCACCTCTTTTCACTCACCATAGAGGGATTTGGCAGAATTTAAACCATACTATGATACCATCTAGTGGTAGAGTAGTTCTACTACCTAACCATGCCATGGTCCTCACTCTGTGGCAGATGAAAGCACACACAGGATGAGTGGTTGATCAAAAATAAAAAGCACTTGTACACACGTCTGACCCCTTTTATAAGCATTTCACTCTCACAAACAAATGTGCTGATGTGGACAAAGCAAAGAGGAAGAGGTAGGGTCATTTTAAGTGTCTAAAGGTAGATCTAACTCAAATTAAAATACATGCTTGTTAGGAAATTACCATCTGTCTGCTATTTATTTGTGCTACGATTTTATAAAAAAAAAAGAATACTTTATGAAAAAGGACATTTGAATTGTACAGCGCCCCCTACAGTTGTATTTATCCATCATAATTTATACCTCATATTATTAATAATAATTAATATTATATAATATATTATATATTATATTCTGATTATTTACGTATTATTCAAATATTGTCAGGTAAAGCTAATGGTAACATTACTTGTCATGTATCGTTCCTGTTCATTGTCATATTTCTCATCCTGTTATTTAAAACTCACTTGTTACAATAAAGTTTATAGGCAAAAAAAAGAAAAAAGGGGGTGTCGCCGGATGATGACGTCCGTGTAGGGACTTCGTGAACATCATGGCGGCTCATGCTAGCGAGCTTGAGATTGCGAAGAAAAATTTAACGGATGCAATTGGCGATAATGTCAAGCAGTAAGTGTGGCGTTGTGTGAGTGTGTGTTTTCTGTTCGGGGTGTTGGGTTTGTTTGCTGTTTGTTGGTTTCCCGCTGAAATGTGAAGCACTGTTGCCATTAGCGACGGTTAGCTCAGTGCCAACCTGAAGTACAACAGTATCATCCGGATTCATGAGCTGACCTCACGTCTACCTCAACGCTCTGTGGGTTGTTTATGAAAACCGCTTGAATATATTTCGATGTGTAGCTTGAGTTAGGGTTAGGTGAAAAGAAAAAAAAAAGCAAAGATTTTCATTCATTTTCATTTGGTTACCTGTTTGAAGCTGTTGATGCTCTAAGTGTAAACTCTTGTAGACATAAAGAGCTGGCTGATGCATTTGTTTATGAAATGAAGGTCGTGTTGGAAATGCACTTTCCTGTAACTGTGGGAGTAAAGTTTGTCCTGTTGTTTGTTGTTTGTTGTCTCTCCTTGCAGTTACTGGGCCAACCTGAAGCTATGGTTCAAACAAAAGATCAGTAAAGAGGAGTTTGACGTCGAGGCACGTCGTCTGCTGGCACAGGAGAATGGTTTGTAAAATACTTGATGTTGTTTTTGTTGACAAATGAATGCTGTCTGAAATGGTGTTGCTTATTTCGTATTTCCCTCCTCCTTCCTCCGCAGTCCATGTTCACAATGATTTTCTCCTGGCCATTCTCACACGCTGCCAGATCATCGTCTCCACGCCAGGTAGGATTTATAAAGGATTTATTTTCTCTGAAACTGCCCCTGACCTCCTGTTTGTATTAAATCTGTGTTTTATCCAAACTTTCTAATCAAGCAGCCGTAATCTGTTGTACCTTCTTATTAGCTGTGTTCATTTGTTGCATTGGTTTTATTGTCGCAGGTGTTTGCCGTTGGAGCATTTGGAGACATTTTGAAATAATTGAATAATGACAAAGTTGAATTAATCGATTTAGTAATGGGGTTGGAAAGAATGTATGTGATAAAAGGCTAAATGTGAAATGGTCTGTAATCAAAGACTTTCAGTGCCTACCCACTGCAGATGAGCTCATTACATTGCTCAAGAGCCAGTTAGGCATCTCCATTTTTGTTTGCTCAGTGCATCTTGTGCTATGTGTTCTGTCCACTAGAGGGCGCAGGGCCATTACAGTGGCAAGGTGGCTCTGCTTCAAAGCCTGGCAAACCAAAAGGGAAGAAGAAATGTTCCTCGAGACAAAAATTTGATGTAAGTAACTCATTTTCATATTCATCCCTGCAGAGACTCAGTGTAACTATTGCTATACTTTATCAGCACCTAAATAATCAGCAGCTGCTTGAACAACTGACTTGAAGTCCTGTTTGTACCTCAGCATCGTTTCCAGCCTCAGAACCCTCTGAGCGCTGCCCAGCCTTTCAGTCCACGGGAGGTGGGAGGTGAGGAGGAGGAGCTGCGTCTCAGTGCCCACACTCTGCTGCTGCCCACGCGAGGCCAGCTGGAGGCCCGCATGATGGTGACGGCCTTTGAGCTGGGCCTGGATAACATCACAGACGATGCCGTCAGCACCATGATCTATGCTATTGAGGTTTGTAGCAGTTCAGTCCACAGGTCTGTTTATAATGCTGCCGTTGTCCTCAATCTACAGTTCAGCAATGGATGGTCTAGTACTGTGTACCATCCACATTATTGGACCTCACCGACTTTCCTCAATGTGTACATACAGTTATATAAATTACCTATTAAGAGAAAAAAAATAAAAGTGCTGTGAAATTATCATTAATGCCAGTACCTGATTTTTGCATCTTCATGATTTTGTGATGTATTAAAAGTATTCAAATTTGTAGCCTTAAAACATGACTGAAATGACATGACAAAAAGGCTGGAAAAGGTTATTACTACAAAAATTCAACTTGTCCTGTGTCCTCACCCAACACTGGAAGCAAGTATCCATTCTTCACCTTTTACGTCAGAGTTGATCTCATACAAGTTCTCATACATTGGGCCACATGCAAGAAGCAACCTATGAATACATTTTCTCTTTTTGTCTAAAACAAATTTGACAAACATAATAAAATCATACATATATATCAAACATATATAATGTGTTATATGTTTTAGAGTAATTCTAGTGATTGGATTATTAAATCTGTGAGCTAAAGAAATACTATTGATCCATATAAAACCCATCGAATGACTGACTATTGAGCACAGGTAATACCTGTGTTCAATAGTCAGTCACTCCATAGGTTGCATCTGTACAGTTCTTGGCCATGTGCCGCACACGGCACACCACCTCCCCCGCATCGTGTTTTATAGTGTTACTTATGCTAATAACAATCAGCCACATGCCACCAATTTAAGATCAAGTGGGATTCATCATTCAGCTCATCTGGGTAAGATCAGATTGGGGTTGTTAAGTATGTTAATAGAATATTTAAGGGAAATTATAAGATAATGTTTCTGCATGAGGGCCAGTGTGTTGTGCCCACGTTTCAGTTTTGTTCTTGAAATTCATAACTGTATTTGATTCTGTCCTCAAGAAATGAATCATTGTGTTAATGTCTGTTTATGATGTCTAACTTCAGTCCACACTCAAAGAATATGAGAGAATGGCGGTCTTAACTTTTCATTGACATCCATGTAGAGGCTTAAAATGATGTTTATTAAATGAAAAGGCTGTGTTTACCCAGGAGATCAGGCAAAGCTTGACTTTGTGCTCTGATTTATTTCAGCAACACTTGAAAGACGTCTTGACTGCTGTAATCACCCGGAGGAAGGCGTATCGGTTACGAGACGGTCATTTCCCCTATGCCTTTGGCAGTTATGTCACGCCGCAGCCTTATCTGAAAAACAGCCTTGCTGCTTACCACAGTGTCACTGAATGGTAGGGACAACAGCTCTCACTAGCTGATAGACATTGTTCCGATTTAATATAAGGATGTTGATGTAGACATAAATACTCTGAAAGGTAATTCTTTGTTAATGTTATCAACTTTGCTCTCGTACAATAATCTGAACAGTGAACCATTGTTTCTGTTGCTGGTGACATTTTTCAGTCCATAGTGATATTATTTTTCTTTCAGTCCCCCTCCAAGTGCTTCCCTCCCTGCTGGCCCACCACCTCAAGTGTCACCCGATGACGCAGAGCAACAAGCTGTTCACTTATTGGCTTGTTCTGCTGACATGCTCCCCGCACCCCTCCCTCCAATAAACATGTTTGATCTCCTGGAGGCTTTACAGGTGAGAGGAATGTGCTTGTGTCTTTGCGCTCCCAAGACCTTCAACGAACTTGGGACCTAGTATTTGAAACACCCCAGATCAAACCAAGCATGTGGACAATTGTATTTTTTAGAGTTGTTTGGTGATTCATAAAAGGTCACATAATAGGACTGAAATGATCATTTGATTCAATTATTTGTAATTTTCCAAGCAAAAGCATTCCATTGTTTTTAACTAAGAATAAGAATTTAACAGTAAAATGATTTTGGACTGTTGGTTGGGGAAAATAAGCTAACTGAAGAGATCAGCCTGGGCTTTAGGAAAAAGGAACGGCATTTTTCACAATTGTGACAATCTAGGGTCTAAATGGTTAAGCAAGAAGATAATTGTTAGTTGTAATAATTGAACTAAATCAAGAGACTTCATTCATTTCATACATAGAAATGTTGACATTACCTCATTGTTCATAATAAAAGTGTTACCCTATGTGTAGAAGTCAATGAGCTTTAATAACCTTGTTAATAAGTAATGACCTAGTACTTAATAGCTGGTCACACAGGATACTATAATATTGTGTAAATATGTGTTTTCTTGTTGTGGGAAATTTGATAGGGTTTCCACTGGAAACATGTCATATTGTTGAACGATGGACCCCTGCGTTCGCTGCTTATCACTGAATCTGTACACGTTAATTCCCCTGGCCTGCCCTTATTCAACCAACAGAGGTTTGTATGATTAAATGTCTTTCTGAAACATTTGTCTGATGCAGGTTCACCACGGTGTGATGCCCTCCCACACTATGTACGCCCTGAACATGGAGCGCATCCTGTCCCGGCTCTGGCACCCCAGCCACGAAGAACTAGAGCAGGACCACGTGCACCGGCAGCGCCTCGGTGCGAAAGACGGCGTGCTCGTCAGCTGAGATCCACTGACACGGGACTGTGTATGAACTGGGCATCATCAGGAACCAAACACAGAAATAACCCCCACATGGAAATGGATGGGGAGCAGTGTGTCCAAAAAAAAAACTGAATTCCTTTTTATAATACCTGGAAAATAACATCCCCCGTTGCACAGAAAGATAAAGCATGAGTGGAGCGAGATGAAACAAAACAGTTGGACAGTGGACACAGAGTGGGCAGTCAACTCCAGCCAGTAACTGGCAAATTAGAGCTGTAGCTGGTTTATTTTTGTCTCTTCCAACAGCCATTTTGGCAGTCGACCAATCATCATTTAGAGCTTCTGATGTATAGCGAGAATCTAATTTGGTGGTAAAATATTGAAAGTGTTGAGGATATACCAACAGCTTACAAGCACTGATGAGAAAAATAAGGTGCTGGGTCTGGTTGCACAGTGTTAATGTTTAGGTGTATGTGGGTTAGAGGCTTGTTTGTGTTGTCAGATATGAGCCACAAACAAACATCCTGAGAATACCAAACCATTGATATCTAATCATGTAGCACTGTGTACATGACCAGGTAACAACATATTGTATTGTATTGTATATGCTATACACAGGTGTTTTCATTTCGTCTGATTAGACCTCAAGAATGATAAAGAAGGAAATCAGCCCGCCTTAACAGGTCAAACAGACGCATCAAGGGTCGTCTGTACAGGGGGAGGTTTACTGTGGTTGTGGGTTTACTGTGGGCGTGTAGGCTCTTTAAAATGTGCCGGACAGCTGCCTCCTGTGCCGTCACGCCCCTCGTGAACATATCTTGAAATTGTCTTGTGTTCCTTAAGCATTTACTGGTGTCTGGTTTAAGGCCCGTGACTTTCCATCAGTGTAGTTGGTCCACAATGTGTGTGAGAGAAGAAGCTGACTCTGTGCACTTGAATATCTGTTCGCCATGTTCGTGTGCCACACCAGGTTCAAGTGTGTATAAATTTGTACTTTTCTTTTTTTTTTTTCTACACAAAGCTTGTTTGTAATTTATACCACTGACAGTAAGTTCAGAAAATAAATATTTTTTTTTTCTACAAGTTGTTCACCATCTAATAGAGAATATTCCTTCTTTCTAAATATTTCTTTTGTGCCTCGGCTCTCTCCCCAAGTGTGTAAACAGATCTGCTTATGCCTCATGGGTTTCTTCTAGGAGTCACCAGCTGTAGTGGGAGGACGGTGATTCACACACACCCGTCCCAGTGCGCGCTGAGAACACCTCTTGCCATATTTGGTCGCCTGCGCCTCACTTCCGACACCTCGCCGTCCAATGGGCGGCCGCGTACGCTCACCAGCCATTACGAGCGCCTCACACTGCACTGGTGACTCAATATCCCGTCCGTCCCAGTTCCTTCAATAACAAACACTCGGTGTAATGCACTGTTAGACTGTATTCGATGATGAATTATTCAGCAGGCACAAAGGCACTCACACATCACGCGTGTCCAACATTTTATTTTGTCATATGTACAGTTCTGAAGTGCTCAAAATACAGCGTACAAATATTACAAAGTGTTATTTCAGGTCTAACATTAGTTACACCTATTATCACAAACTTGTATGAACATAAGGGTTAAGAAAGTAAGGCAGTTTTGTCAGTAAACGCTACACACACACCTATAAGAGTCCTTGGGTAAAGGTGTGAAACTTTTTTTTTTTTTTTAGTGTTACTCTGTACATACTGTATAGTCGCTGGTGGGATGCTCAGTGCTCGACTCAAGTCTATATGCATAAACTGCTACTTGACATAGTGGGATATTTGCAGGGCCATGGCCTCGTTCACATTGTGTTTCTGTCCCCTTTGCAATTTGATCCCACGCAGGCTCTGTCAGGACTGCATGGGACTTTATCAATTTAAAATTAGTATAAGGTATGGGCACTTGCCATGCTACCTTGGATTGACTCAATTTGATCTTGTAGTTTTGAATGGAAAAGAAAGACTGAAGTGCCAAGTCACATCAAAAGGTTATTTGGAGCAAATGTCCCCTCTGAGCTGTGTGCGTCCTTGCCATAAGTTTGGTGGCCTCTGCTCTGTAATATTTCATCATACTGACCAATTACAAGTATCATGTCAGTCTCCATTCGTTGCCCTTTGTGGGTGCAGCCTGAGCGGATAATTTGGTGGAAAAATGAAATGAGACACAGGGACTCCTCCCGCAAAGCCCAACGGGCCCACTTTAAGCTGCATTTGGTCCCCAAGAAATGTCCCTTGGTTCTTTTCCTCTCGGCAGTCTAGAAAGCTTGGAGCTGCTGCGTCAAAATGAGCTGGCAGCCGCTGTTAACGTGGTCCATGACCTTTTGCTTGAGCAGAGCCAGCTCGTCCCGGAGGACGTTGGCAGAGGAAACCAACTCGGTGTTTTGGCTCTTCAGGTTTTTGACCCTGTCCTCCAGCCGAGAGATCCTCTCCAGCTTCCTTTTCCGGCATTTGGACGCGGCCACCCTGTTCCGCATGCGCTTCCTCTCCGCTTTGATGCGCTCCTGGCTCTCCATGTTGATGGGGGAGAGCGGCGGGGTGTCACCGGACATCTCGGGCACCGTCTGCGGCTCCTCTTTGAGCGCGTGTAGCCGCGAGTGCTGGGCTGCCGCCAGCTGGTGGTCCATGTGGTTGTGGGACGGCTGTGGGGCGGATGGGTAATTCATAGGTGGGTGCCTCTCGCTGGCAGGTGCAGACGCAGAGCCCACAGCTCCCCTGAAAGTGCCCAAGTTTGTGTACTCCGGCGGGTCGGCGCGCACCGTGCAGCTGTAGGTAACCCCGCCGCTCTCGGACGCAGCAGGGCCGGGTGCCATGCTGCTGGTCGCGCCGGCCTGTGCGTCGGGGTGGACGGCGGGTCCCTGCTGGTGATAGTGGAGCTCAGCCAGTGCTCTCACAAACCCCTCGGCGAACCCCTCCTGCTCGTCTGTGATGTTCTTGGGGCAGACGAACTGGGTCGGGGTGGGAGTCGTCAGCCCGCTGCAGGACTGGATGATCAGTCTCTCCAGTTCAGGCGAGGCCAGCTTCAGCAGCCCGACATCAGGGGACGTCAGGATGTCCAGGGCCTTGGAGCTCAGCTGGGGTTTGAAGTTCTTCGGGTCGTTTAGGTTCAGGGTCATGGTCTGTTTGAGGGTTTTGGGATTGAACCCATACACCGTCGTCCCGTCATGCTGAGAGTTGGAAGCATTCACGGCTTCGTCGTAGAAAGTCGCTTCCATTTTTCTGGACATAAAGTTTTTATCACCTTGAGGGAGGTCTACTCTCATTAAAGAAAAGAAGTTCAGCTGGTCACATATGTCCTGTGACTCCCTATCTCTCAACTGTCTTGTGACAGAGTCCGCCTATTGTTGAAGTTCAACTCACTTGACAACTTCGCGTCCTGAGAAAACTTTTCTCTTGTGAGCCTCGCGATCATGAACAAAAAAAAAACCCCGTAGCTGTCCCGCCGCCGAGGGTCAGTGTTTTTACACCTCGAGTATCCGCTTTGATTTACCCTCCTTCCCTCAAAACCAGAAACAGCGCCTGAATAGGGATAATACTTTCTATCACTTCCAACGTGGAGACGAACTTTATCCACCTCTAAGCTGCAGCTCTACTGAAAATAACAATGATGTCATTTCTACGCGCTCTGATTGGCTGGAGATGATTTGGTGGGTGGGGTATATCTAATGACATGCAGGTTGCTCTGACAACTAGCCATATCCCCGCCCCCCCGCGATGGCTTATGGGATTAGGTAATGCAGACAGTGGAGCAATGTACTCTGGGATTACGTAGTGTTTTTGAATATTTAGTTACCCGCTCAATTATTAGTTACCCATCCCGAAGTGAAGGCTGCTCCAGATGGACCGTAGAGTTTAACCTTGATTAACACGCAACAGCAAATCGATATTCTTTGATTGAGATGTTTTCGACCGGGAACATACTGCTTACAGAATGTAAAGTTTCATAGATCATTAGATAAAAGCACATTTAGATGATTACCTCATTATCAAAATGCAAATGAGACGTGCGATCTAAAAGCTGTCTACATACATGTGGTTATAAGAGTTGAGAGAGCGAGTGCTGTTGGCTGGTTAAAGCACTTAAAAGGGTTGAGGAGAGAAGAAAGAAAATGAGGTCATACCTTCGCCAGGAAGTGCTTTGCTGTATAGAACCACACGTTTTAAAAATGTCATTGTCATGCAAGTGTCTTTCTCAGTTCTTGCAGAGAGAGAGGAGGAGGAGGAGGAGGAGGAGGATATGTGTTCTCAGAAACACAATCAGTTTTATTGGCCAAGTATGACACATACAAGAAATACGACAGTAGGTTTTAATATACTTACACACAGGGCCAAGAAAGAAATATAAACAACAAAGATAAACAAACATAAACAGTCATCATGTACAAGCACATGTGGGTATGAAAATACACATGTGGACAACCAGCATACACTACATAAATCAAATTGTTAATGTAAAGCTGTAATACACACACAAACACATCTCTATTTTACTGTACACACCCATACATAGATATGTACATGTAAACAGAGATATAAACAGAGATATAGATAAGAGGAAGTATGCCTTCTATATGAATAAACCTTAATCAAACAATCAGCTCACACTATGATTCAAACCCAATCTTAAACTGGTCACATGTGTCAATCAGCATTACGCAAACATGGAGGGAAATATAATGTATGGATTAAATAAAAACAGGTCATTGCGTTTAAGGCTGTATCATGATATAGATTTTAGCCCTAATACTTGGCCACTTGATCTTTGCATGTGTTTGAGTTGCACGATCACCTTCCTGTGCTGGAAATAATAATAATAAGTGGTTATAATCTGTTGTTTCCTCCCGTAGGTCTCATAGGTAAATGTGAAGCTGCACTTGAAGGATGGCCGATGGCTCTGTACAGCTGCAGTCCAGTGTGTCTGGCCTCCCCCATTGTATTATTCAACATGTTCTCCTCAAGCCAACTATAAATAAGTTAACAGCTCCAGACAGCCTGGGAGAACCAGAGCTGCCTGAGGTCAACACTCTTGAGATGACATGTTGTCCTCACAACACAGCCGCACAACACCCATTTGGAAGTATCTGACACCCTGAAGTGGAAATCCAGAGCTGGAATGCTTTAGAAACATGTCTAATACCACAGCAGTAATGAAGACAAAGGCCTCAGATTTTTTTCTCTCTTTCTGCATTCCTCATCTCTGAACAGAAAATGGCAGCTTCCAATGTGCCAATAACTCTATGAGCCACTCTACTCTCTCCTTGTCTCCCTCTGTACACCTGTGTTCAGCCCCACCGAGGAGTATTTTCCTATCACGCCGCTGTGCCCCGGCCATGCTTCCTGTTTCTCTGTCAGCTTTTCCCCTCTGCTGGCCTGATGGCGTTGCTTTGAGATAACAGCGCTTTCCTCCTCCCTGCCCGGGCCAGCTGTTTCCACAGCATGAAGTTTTCTAATCAGGAGCTGGTCCTGCCTGCCTCCCAACAGGCCTGCTTTTGTTGTACAGAGGTGGGACAGCCCAGGGTCCGTGGAAACACTCCCTCTTTCATGAGAGCAAAACACAGAGAGAGGCTATATATGCATGTGTTGATGTATCAACAGAGCAAAGTTTTGATTACCTTCAGGCGTGGACAGGAGGGACGCACACACACACACACACACACACACACACACACACACACACACACACACACACACACATGAGCAATGAGAGAGAGACAGATGAGATTTCAAACACTGTCCGTGCAGTGTTTGTTGAAGACCATCTGTTTCTTCCTGTCCTGCTGCTTGGTTTTTCTCTGTACTCCATCTCCGCTGATCATTCCTGGTCCAAACACACTGATCACAGCCAGCACCACTTCCTTTAGACAGCTGTTGATCTCCTCTGAGAAAAGAACACAATAGAGTAAAGAGACCTGCAGACTAGAAAGTTTGACATGTCAAATGTTTTTGATGGCAGGTTACCGTGTCTGCCTTTTCGCAACAAAGCCCATTTTGCAGCCCTGAAACTACACAGATTATTATCCATTACAGTAAATTATGTGTTTATTTATTCAGCCCATGGTTAGTAATTCATGTAGTTACATTTTTCATAGACCTTTTTCACATGTCATAGCAGAAAAAGCACAGATGTACTTAATAATATTAACAATTATTCATTTCATTAACAATGGCTGTGTGCATTTAGTTTTGCCAGTTCCACAAGCCTTATATTGTGCATGCATCATAACTGAAACCCCTAAATGTACCAGAATCATCATTAATGTTACACATGTGCTTCTCCTGCTGTGACAAGTCACAATGTCTGCTGTGGTAAATGTCTTTAGACAGAATAATGAAATAATAATAACATGCTAGTGTTCTAAATATTTTAAAATCCTGCAAAGGGTGGTGTCATCTAACGAAACAACAACAAAAGTTATATTTCCATAGGTGCATTATCAACATGGCAGCTGCCCAGGGGCCTCAGACCATCAGGGGGTCCAAAAGCCACGGGTACGGGTCGCAGTGTGTTTGGTTTGGTTGATCAAGAGTGTAAATTGTTTTGTGAATATCAGTTGAAATGACAAGAGCACTCCATTATTGGTTAATCCTGAGGCCCTATCTTGTAGAAAACTAGTTTAATATTTGTATTATTTAAGTGTATATTGTGCTCACATGGGGAATTATTTTAAATAAATGTGTTTACATAGAGAAGACAAGGTAGAAGCAAAGAGAGACAGGATGGTATTACAGGTCAGATGTTAATAGGTTCCCAATAAGCCCAGTGCACACAGAAGACTACATGTGGTGGCTTAACTTATTTGCTCAAACACACAAGTCTTAACATTTGTTGAGGAATTTTGTAATCTAGTAGTTTTGTAGTGTTTCAGGATATAAAAAATCTATTTATTTATTTATTTTTAATTAGCCTTTATATATTGCCAAGGACAATCTTGGTGTCCTCAGTGGTAGCTGCTGCCATTGGCAGGTTGCTTGGATATAATGCAATATTAATGAGCTGAGTTAGTACCCAGCACTTCCATGCTGGAATAATGTTAATTTCCTCCTTTTTTGTGTTTCAGTTTGTGGTTAAATGATTGAACACAGTTTTATTTAGTAATATGCATCATGAGAAAATGATATAAACTAAAATAATAAAGCTTTTTAGACTAGACTCAGACAGGTTACACTTTCAAATGAATGATGTAGGGCTGTGTCTAAGTTGATATTGTGCTTTAGTGTTGAGGATTTCTATAAAAAATTATAAAACCAAGTACATGTACATGTTTATGCAGTAAACTTGGGGCTGTTGGGGCCCCTGGTGGGGAAGTTGCCCACTATGGTTGTTTGATAAATGTATTTTTCCCCCCAGTACCCTTTGATCCTGCCATGAATTATTCTTAATAAGTCCTATTGGGCTACTGTCTGTTAGGACTAAGTTGTCAGAGTCATTTACTAGTATATGGCATTCCCATATCCCACAGTAATGTACTAACGTTATGATGATTGTGTTGCAGTGATTTGTCCACGGCCGATAGTAGTTCTAAAAACCAGGACTTTACAAAGATAGGAAGGCATACAAAGAAAGGAGGAAGAGGTCGAGATCATTTTAAATAACCAACTCATGCTGCTGACCTGTTTTATTTCGGGCTCAGTATAGCTCAGCAGGGGGAAAAAAAGTCGCCTTTGGCCTTTTTGGCCGCTTTCGCTTTCCGTCGCAACCACCGTCTCCAGCTCAAAGTACGCTGGTCAGAAACTCAAAGGGATGTTTAATGCGCTGAAATAAGAGTTCGATCTGGCGGTAAGTTCGGAGCTGTAGTCCTAGCTGCTGTACAAATGCTCTGTATGTCGGATGCTGTCTGCTGTGCGCATTATAAATGTTACTGTGAGGAATAAACTGCTGGGAGGAACATCTCTGTTGCTGCACTTTAGCTTTATCATGCTCAGTTGAGGATTTCAGTGTCTGGCAACACATTGAAAACATATCCGCAATTAAAAGCACATTATGCGCTATGTGTGCGTTAATATCTGCGTTTGCTTGCACCTATTTCGAAACAGTGTATTAAACATTGACAGTGTAAGCGGGTTAATAATCAACCCCTGCCCCCCCGCCCCCCCTTACACCCAGCTCCTCTCCTCATGGCAGAGGTCTACTATGTCGGAGTGGACGTGGGCACTGCCAGTGTGAGGGCTGCACTGGTGAGCAGGGCCGGCCTGTTGAACAGCACTGCAGAGGAGCCCATCAGCATCTGGGAGCCCCAGGCTGACCACTACGTCCAGTCCTCCTCTGAGATTTGGGAGAAATGCTGCACAGTTGTAAAGGTAGGCTGACCTCAGAGCAGTGGTTGGTTTCAGATAAAGTACCCCATCACAGACCCCACTTCCACTGATCCCAATGTGTTCATTTCAGGTGGATCTTATATATACATATATAAATACATATACAGTTGAATTGTCTTTGTTTGGTTGGTTTGGTTATGTGTGCATTCCTACTGCTACCACTGGAGAGTGGCAGGAGGCAGCTGGATCATTTATAACGTTATTTCAACTGGTTATTTCATAATGGTTTCAGCCATGTATCCATTACTCATTACTTACAATGTTTCTGCTAGTT